GTGTGTGTTTGTTAAAGTAAAATAGAGGTATTTTATGTATAAACTAATACAAATAATCACTGCATTCATATTAATGATGTATTCAAATATCTGGGGCGATTGTTATTAATGTTATTCCTGTTTAAACGTCTCTAATTTACTACAGTTTGAATAGAAGGATAAAACTACAGAAAGTGTTATGAAAGATTTCTCTCAGACAGTAAACAATAAAATGATAAACGTTTGTTTGGATGTTTTTCCGTGGGAGTGACTGAGCAGGTGGAGCATCGTTCAGTGCCCTGAGACGACTTCTGCTGTGACTTGGCGCTATATAAACAAACTGAACTGAATTGCTGTCCCTGAACGTCTCACTGATCATGAGAGCATAAAGCACCGAGGCGTCGGTGAGACCTCATCGAGGTGGGCGTCTCCCTCCAGATGGCGCCCTGCAGCTTCGGCTGCGACAGACGAGCACAGGTGAGGATTCCACAGATTATTTAGATTCCAGAGGTGAGCTGACCGAATCATAATCTACAGCTTAAAAAAATAAAACCGACTTGCTGAAATGACATTTGAGCCCAAATATATTTGAACGAGCAAACAAACAAAACTATATGACGTTTATTTTTAGTAACACACCTGAGTTAACCTGTTACCTCTGAGTTATGTCAAATACGGTACATTATATAAAAATAAAGGCAAATTACCTCACAAACAAGTCCTTTAAAATAAATTATTTACAGTGTTTTTAGCACAAACGTTTGCATATTTTAGTCTCGGCTAACAGAGAAACTGCAAACGAGCTTTAATGTATCTGAACCGATCTGACGCGCAGAACCTCACGGGGTTCTGTTCTGATGATGGAGGGATGAACCCAACAGGAACACAGTCAGATCTGAGGGAACTCTCAGCTTTTCCACAAACCTTTTTTTTTGGTCTTTGTTCACATTATCTGCATGAAAAGAACAAGAAGTGTAAACGTCTGAAAGTAAAACTAAATATTTCAAATGCTTCGTGCCCTCTTGGCTGAGGTGGAAAAATTTAGATTAATTAGATAAAATGCATTAAAACAACGAGGAAGGAAAACATGATTTAAATAAAATAACGTAATAATAAACTAATGTTTGGTCATTTTTCTTCTGTAATATAAATCGACTTGAGTGGAGAACTGATGTGAACGTTTATCACTATATAAACTTAATTATATCTAAAGCGGACTAGTAGATCTGTAAAGTGAGCTGCTTTGTAGAATCACTTTTAGGCAAAAGAAAATCCTTAAACTTTATCTCTCAGACTTACAAAAGCATATTTTTGTGCAGGATGATGAGACGAAACCAAAAGTTGCAAACTCACTCGTCCCCCGTCTGTTTCAAACACTTTGTACAAAAAAAACAACTCAAAAACCTTTTGCTCCCATGTTCTGATTGGAGTGAAGTTAGCAGGAAAGTAAAGTTGCATTATGTTCAATAATATAAAACACTAAAAACTGATGGATTTCTATGGTTCAAATTCAACCCTGACAACGGCAGCACAGAAAGCTGCTTTACGTTCTGACGTTACTCTTCAAACTCTTGAGGCCCACAGTCAACGAAAACATCTCGAGTATCTAACACTGACCACGCCGAGTAAAAACAGTCTTTAAAACACTTTCAGGCTCAGAGAAAGGAGGCGAGACTGAAGCGGGACCCAGATCTCAGCCTCGTGGGGACAAAAATGTGCAAAATAGGTCCAAGTAGAGCTGCACAGGAGGTGCCAAATCTGAGGAAAGGTTATGTGGTTTTCCTGAGAAGGCGGCGTTAATTAATCTGAGGATCAATAAATGCAAAAAAGGCATAAACAGATTTAAAGAGCATCTCATCCTCTTGAATCTGCCGTTTCTGTTCCTCTTCATTGTCCCAAAAAAACCCAACCAAACAAAACGGATCGGCAAACGTGATTCTCCGCAGACTCACTCGGGTCCACAGCCGAAGAAATCCACACCGACGTAGCGAGGGTAGCCTTCCAACGAGTTCATGCCAACAGGATCGAACTTCCAATAAAGCCGTCCTCGGATAAAGTGAGCGTAGCCTGTGAAGTCGAGAACAAAAACTAATTGTTCAGTATTTACAGCAACAAGAAAGCATCAGGGTGAGGTGCAAAGTGGTAAAATTTTAGAATTCTCCAATAGTTAGAAACTTATAAAACATATATTTTTTAGATTAATATTTAATAAATGCCTTTTTTAAATAAATACGTTAATGGTAAGTTTTTGGTTAATTTCCCCCCATCACCATCAAGTTGTTGTTTTTAGCAAAAATAAAAATTTGAATACAATCTTCAAGAACTTGGATGAATTTGATTTCCCCGTACCGTGCATGTCCCTGAAGGCAGCATCCACGTCGTCTGGGATGCCGCTCCAGTCCTGCATCCTGCGCGGGTGGGCAGACTCGACTCGGTTCTCGTGAGGGCTGAACCTCCAGTAACTGCCCGACTTGAAGAAGTAGGTGTTGTAGTTGGAATCGTGGCCCCAGCGAAGTGCGGCCTGGATCCTGGATATGGACAGACCCAAACTCCGAATGGACTCCGGCCCCCTGATGAGGGTCTCGGCATCAAACACCCAGAAGTGATCTCCTGCAGAAACGACGGCCCTTTTCATTTGATTGTTTACCTCAGCTGAATCGTGTTAAACATTAAACACTAAAGGCATTGTTGTAAGTAAATAGCGGTTATGTCACTGGATCCAAGATTAAATCTCATTAAAGTTACTGCGTTCTCCCAAATCTTTGTTAATTACCATTTTTATCTCTTCTTAAACTTGCCCACAGGGGGTTTTCACTTCACGAGACATCGCTGTGCCTTCTTCCCTGAACTCGCACGAAACCATAAACCACATAAACTGCAGCTCTTAGTCTTAGTCACCTACCTTTAAAGAACCAAATATTTCCTAACTTGTCTTCAAAGGCGGCGTCAATCTTGACAGGAATCCCCTTCCAGTGCCGGGACGCCAGAGCCGGGTACCCGCTCTCCAGATGCTTTGATCCTGCAGGGTCTCTGATCCTCCAAACGTAACCCGCCTTAAAGAAGAACAGCTCCCCTCGGATCATAGACGCCGCGTCGAAGTCCGTCTCGCAGACGTCGGGCTGGAAATGCAACAGATCACCGGCTTATTTCAACACAAATCTAAAGTTTCTCCCAGGAGGGAGTTTTACTGCAGCAGGATGAGACATACGACTGTTTTAACCTGACACTAGAGTAAAGAGGGGATTTAACACAAAAGAAAGAAACCACTTCACAATTTCATCAGCAAAAAAAACAAAAACAAAGCTGCAAAGCTCTTCCAGAACCTAAACTTGATCTTTGCCTTTGAGACTCATGTATCCACTCAGTTTTATAATCACAAATACGTACACCATCAAAACTAAACTAACATTTAATAGTATTTTCTGTAAAATAAAACCTATTTGTCCGTCCTAGTGAATTTAGGCTTAGACGTTTTTAACCCTTAATACTAACTCGAGAGCACAAAATGTGGTTCATATACAACAAATAAAATCAGCAGTGGGAATATAGTCTGGATCAGGGGTCTGCAACCTGCGGCTCTGGAGCCACCTGCGGCTCTTTGGTCCCTCTGCAGCGGCTCTTTCAAGCTTTGACCAAAACTAACAAAACTGAATTTTATAAGATCTTATACCCACAACAAAAAAATTACTAGCTTTAGCAGTTTTCCTGTAATTTCCTTTGCAAATATGCAGATATTAGTACTAATACACAGTAAATTATACTCAATTTAACTTTATGCTTTATTCCTTCAAACTCAATTTCTCCACAATTAAAAAAAAAAACAGCCTGCACAGTTCATTATTTTAGTTTTTAACTAATTGGCAAAATAATATATTTTTTTTCTTTTAGAAAAATTCAGTCTTTCAGGAAAAAGCGAGTAAAAATAACGGATGGATGATTGGATGGATGGATGGAATCCAGTCTTTTCTTTTGTCTTAAAATGTAAATATATCAATAAATGTTAACAATTGTTGTTTTTAGTTTTATAATGGCATGCCTACTGGTCAGAAAAGCCCCCTCTAACGAAGTGGCCCATGTGCCACCAATTGATAAAGACAATTGTAGCAGGTTTTGCGGCTCGACGTTTAATTTGGTGAACGAAGGGGCAGAAACGGCTCTTTTGATCCTAAAGGTTGCAGACCCCTGCTCTAGATAGTCTTTAAAGTGTTTAAAGTTTTAATGTATTTTTTTAGAAAGCCGTTCAGTGCTGCTGGTTGTTGTTTGGAGAAACACCTCAACCGGTCAGTGTCTCCTAAATCTATACCTTAATATTTTTGCTCCCCGTCTCTTCTGTTTTTGCTCTTTGGGTTGTTGGGAGGTCACTCTGCGCTCTGAAGACATTTTCTAAATGCATGAAACTCTAATTTGTTATAACTGGTACTGTTTTCTTCACAGCAGCTGCTGCCAGACTTCTAGGTGACTCACTTCCTGACGATCTGTAGTATTTTTTTTGTCTCCTGATCAAACTTCGTTGTAGCAATAAAACATGTAACAGCTGCACTGATACGTCACATGAGCAGAAAAAGACTTGTGCAGCTATGATTTCCCCTCATACAACAAACTAATTGAAATCCTACTCCTGCTACAAGTGATGTAGATTTTAAACTCGTCAGTTTTTTTTCCACAGTTTAGTTATTTTTCTGTTTCAAACACTCAAAACCATCGATATGCCTCTTTCTTCCAATGTTGCATTAGTTCCACTCACAGGAATTTCGTTGGTCTCGGTGTAGATGTGTTGAGGTGGTGGTGGGGGAGGAGGTGGGGGAGTGGTTGGCCGTGGAGCCAGAACCCGCGGTTTAGCTCCATACAGGTACTGGATGCCTTGCTTGTCATCCTCGCTCAGCTTCAGCGGGTAGGAGAAAGAGTAGTACTCGTACATGATGGTTTTTGGCTTGTGCGAGTGCTGCAGGCCCAGGACGTGCCCGAATTCATGGGCAGCGACCTGCAGAAGATCTGTACCTGCAGGAAGGAGAGAAGATGCACATCTGGTTCAAACGGTGTCTGAAAACTGCTGAAAGCATTTGTTTTGACCTGCTTTCAGCAGCATGTGGGGATTTTGCTACGTGAGGCCGTTCAGTGCCAACACATTTCTCAACAAGTCTTCTTGTTGATTTATTTTGCTGCACTCGTTTACTTGTTTGTATGACGTGAACGTGCATCCGACACGTTTGACCTAAAGAACAGCTCATACCAGCTTTTCAAAAATTACTTCATAGCAAAAAAAACAAAGAGCTGGTGAAAAAGTATCTTCAGTGAAAACGCAGTGCGAATTAATTTTCTGAGATCTGCCGAAGAAGATGAAACCGAGTTAAAGCAGAACAGAGGCTGAAATAAACATAAGCTAAACGCAGCAAAACTACAGCTGCTGCTACTTCCTTCGGCTGTTCCCTCTTCTGGGGTCTCCACAGCAAGTCATCCTCCTCCATCCATCTCCATGTCCTCTCTAACTGCAGTACTTTATAGTTGATTAGGAGAGAGTTGGACCAGCTTGCACAGAGTTTGACCCACATACAGCGGCATGTGGGGCGCACTTTGTTTAAACACCCCCAGCCCTCTCTGGGAATCTTCAAGAAAAAGCATCCACGTCTCTCAAAATGATCTTCCTCCTCCTTCCACTTTATAATTTGTGTGTAAAGGGAGAAATAAATGTACAAACTAAACATTTAGAAATCTTCAGTTTGTTCATTTATCTGACCGATTTATTTTTATATTAGAAGAAAAATAAACATCTTTAACTCAAAGTCCCACTGTGGGAAACATCAGAAGCCATCCAGATGCTCACCCATGTGGTTTCCCAGAGTCCAGGATTCATCGTAGTCGAAGTGAATTTCTCCTTGTTTGTGTGTTTTGGGGAAGAAGGCGTGAGCGAGAATCCCACCCAGTCCGTCAAAGGGGAGGCTGTCTCCATGATAGTAGCTGTAGGTTTATAACAACAAGTGCTCCGATGAGTTAACTGTTAAACTTACATCTAAAAAAAACAATTTGCTTGTTGTTTTATTATCACTTCAAAAATAATTAAAAACTGAAACTAAAAATTGAAAATATCTTAAATAATTTGACTATTTGACAGTTTCAAAAAGTTGGTAAATAATTTGAGGATTACGTTGTGTTTAAGTTTTATATTTTACTTTTTTTTAATCCATAAGAGACATAAAAATAATGAAGACACAAGAGAAATTATCTCAAATAACTAACGAATTGCATTCGAACTGCAGAAATAAAGGGAAAAAACAAAGCGTTAGAAAAATGGAGGCACGTTTAAGTTTCGATTTATTTTTAAAATAGCGTTTTAAAAAACAGAACATGCCAAAGATTTGATTTAAAACTATGATTTAAGTAGGAGAAAACCAAAATCACGCAAAACAAAAGAAATACCTGATAATACAGATTAACAATCAAAGTTTTGTGTCGGCTGCATGGAATCTGCTTGTCCTTTCTTGCTTCCCTCTTCGTGTGCTCATCGCCGTAATCTTTGTCAGTAAATCTTTTTGTAACGAAAGGTCTTTGTCGTCAGAATCAGATGTTATCCGACAGTTAAAATATGTGGTTCTGTGCTTTTTGCTGACTGAGATGCTCCTGATTATCCAGAATCCAGATGACGCTTGAGGAGGTGCAATAAACGACTACTGCTTTCATTACCATTATAAAAACAAAAACAGCAATTACCCTTTTATTGTTTTAACATCAAAAACTTTTATTATTTTGCAACAATAATCATTTCATACGCTCCGGTATTTTATCATTTTAGCTTTAGGTCAGACTAATGAATCTTCAATCACCTCAAAAATGTTGACATACAACGAGAAGGATTTAATTTCAGACCTTGTTATGAAGAAGCGCCAGAGATGAGGTTATAACTTGTTTATAAATTTATAACAGATTATGGACGGTTCTGAATCTATATTGTTAACGTTAACCCGTCTTGCAGCTTTATTAGTCAGCAGATTAGCTGCTGCGTGGCGCTGTTGGTTCTTCTATAGCTTCCAGCGGTTGTAGCTGAAACGTGTTGCTGTCTGTTTCCACATATTTTCATAAAGAATACACAAAGTTATCATGGGATGACTGTCTTTAGTAATGACTGTAAATTGTTTTAAGTGTGTGCATAAATTTCCAGTGATAAACACAATGCCAGTTGCGTTAGCTTTTCTTTGGTGGTTTCAATGGTAAGTTAGCATCTATGCTAATTGTTGGCGAGCAGCCAGTGATTAATAGGTCTTTTTTGGCATACGGTATAGTGTGCAAGAAAATACATTAATAATGTGTTTCTACTTCTTCTTTTGGCTGTTCCCCCTTCAGGGGTCTCCACAGCGAGTCATCCTCCTCCATCTCACTCTGTCCTCTGCATCCTCTGTCCTCTACCTCCATGTCCTCTCTAACTGCATCCATACATCTCCTCTTTGTCTTTTTCCTGGCAGCTGCATTTCTAACATCCTTCTTCCACTATACCCACCGTCTCTCCTCTGGACATGTCCAAACCATCTCAGTCTGGTCTCTCTTAACTTTATCTCCCAGTTGTTCAACCTGTGCTGTACCTCTGATGATCTCATCCTGATCTTATCCATCTTTGTCACTCCTAAGAAGAACCTCAGCATCTTCATTTCTGCCACTTCCAGTTCTTTCTCCTGTCTTTTTGTCAATGCTGCCGTCTCCAGACCATACAACATAGCTGGTCTCACTATAAGTTACATAAATCAGTGTTTATTTACATAAAACAAACCGTATACAAACCACAGTTATTTCAATTTGTAAATTGTATTTCTCTCTATTCCAGTTTTGGTGTTCTAGATAAGAATCATAACCTAACCTGCTGCTTCCTGGGTTAATTTACAAACCTGATAATCAAGATGCATCAATAATCTTTCTATATTTACAATGCAGTCCTTTTAATCCAATTGTGAGATGTCTAACAATTCACCCCCCTAACAAACACGAACAGATCACTGAGTATTATTACTGATTACATAAAATCCTCAAAATGTTTTTCTCCTCTACACTTGTGTATTCCTGCAGTGAATGACTACAGAAACCAACGACAAGCTTCACGAGACACATCAGAGGTAGGAAAAATTACATCTTTAAGTTTCATGGGTTTGTCGGTAGCAAAAGGTTTTTCTGACAGGTGATTGATCTCCCAGGTTTTTGCTACAGTAGTAGCTACAGTTTATATAAAAATCTTTAAATGAGGTGGAAATACATGAGGTTGACATAGGTCGCACATGCACAGTCATGTCAGTTTTCCACGATTGGAATAAAACAATCAGATAAGCGTTTTCATGCACACTGTTCGGATTATGAATCGGCATAAACCACCCCTCTCATTCGGATTACAAATTCATTCGAATTGAGCTGAATCGACAAAGAATAATCTGAATGAGGCGTTTAATCCGATTACTTATGTCCACATGTAAACATAGCTAGTGAAGAGCCAACTTTTTACAACAGTACTCGTTTCCGTCAGCCAAAATGAGGAATCTGACGCTGCACTGAGCACAGATCACCAAATAAACACAGCTTGGCCTGATGAATCTCAGGTTCTGTCAAGACCAAACACGGTGGACAAGAACCAGCAGCATACGTTTATGAAACCGCCCTGCGTCAGATCAGCTGTCTAGGTTGGTGTTGCTCCAGGTGTTTAGACACCTCGAGGAAAAGACAGAAAAGTAGGATGACAGTGTCAAAGTGAAAATTCTGCTGAAATTTGTGCTGACCTTAAAAACCCTCAAATTATAAACGTCTGACATCTTTGTACATTACCAACAGTGCAACTAAGCAGCCGATAGTTCAGCTACTTATTGAGCTGCGGGGAAGTCATTTCCCCAAAAACAAAAGGTCACAGATATCATTCAAATAATAACGAACATCAACGTGTCTCCCTTTCTTCTTTTAAACACCTCAGTCAGCCAACCCACCGAGTAAAGTCGATTTGGATGTCAGCCGTCCCGCTGCGGACCTCGGTGAAAGTGAGAGGTGTGACGTCGCTCCAGATCTTCACCGCCTCTCGAAAGACTCGTCGCACCTTCTCCTCACCCATCTGCCAGGGAAACTTGTTGATCCTGCAGGAGACCAGCGCAGGTGTCAACACAGGAAGCACAGGAAGTAAAGGTGCAGAAAGAGACCACCATCTTTGATATCTGCTGTCATCTCTTCTTAAAGGAGAGGTGATGCCTTTAAACTCACTAAGATTGTGATCTCCTCCATTTCCATTCAGATTAAACCACCCAGCGTGAGAGCGGAGTTCACACCTAAAATTTTAAAAAGGAGCAACAGCCATTCCGCAGTAAACGGCGAATGTTTGTTACCGTACGTACAAGTACATAAATTATAAAGCAAACACATAAACTTTGAAGATGATAGCAGGAATTTTAGGGCAAAACTCCCTTTTAACTTGTAAGTTGGTAACGTAGAGAATCAAAATAATTGTTGCACGCTTTTTAAACCTCTCACATGTGGGCTAATCGAGGAGCAGTCGCTGCATGTTTTAACTCGGGGCTTCTGGCCAAACTCCAGTATGATTTAAAAAAAATAAAAAATTTCTGCAATGATATAAAACCTGCCCATGTAACGGATCGCGCAGAAACCGTTTCGGCTTGTAACTTGGCCCCAGGGACCGCAAACAACGTTTCTGTTGCATAGAGACGACAAGGTTCAAACAAGATCCAACATATTAATTAGAAGATTCAGAGCTGGAATTTTTATTTGTTTTTCTTTGCTGCTGATCTTTTATTACACATACGTGAAAGAAACAGATTGGCATAATGATTATTTTTTAATGTGGTTGTTAAAGTTATTATCTTGATTCTCACTTTGTGTGTCCGATATGCCGAAAGAAAGATTATGCTTGTGATTTATAAATTAACGGATTAATAATATGTGCATGTAAACACTTAAATATTTACTTTTTATCCAGTTAGTAATGTTGGAAAATCCCCTTTATATATAACATACACTAAAACAGACTTCCAGAAATAAAAGAAAAATGCATCATCACTTAAACTCCTCCTGCAGCCTCGTTGTTCCCATTAACTTTAATTTATGAGATGCTTTTAAAGATGGCGGAGGCTGAATTTGGGATCAGGCAAGAGGATGAGGAGGCGAAGAGTTTTTTGTGTCTGCTGCCGAGTTAAACTTGTTTGATCCAGACAATTTAAAATGAGACAGCAGTAGGATCAACACAAAATGTGGCGTTTTTAAAAACACACCATCAATAAAAAAATAAAATTCCACCGCTTTCGTCTCATTTACCGTCTCTTGGGTTTAGTAGATTAACGACGCGTTGAAGATAAATGAACATTTATCTAAAAGCTGCAGAATAAATATAATATTGCAGAGCTTCACAAGGGGAATAGAAGAAGACATTTTTCTTTTTATGAAATACTTGAAGAGGTGAATGAAAAACTGTTTTACTTTCACACATCCTAAAGAAAAGGATTGAATTGAAAACAAAATGATTTACTTTATCTGTTAGGAGTTCGTCAGTCACACAGAAACTCATTTGGTTCTTCAGAGTGGCTTACAAGTTACTGAGTCAAACCGAATTAAGAGAAAATGGAAAAAACACTGCGTTCTTGAAACGTGTCAGGTGATAGTGTTGATGTCTGTACATATGAGCTGCTGCTCACAGACGTCATTTAAATAACTTGGCGTGACGGTCACAGCCAACATGGCTCTGTTTAAAGGTAACAGAATCTACCGTTTAGAAGGACAGCGTGGTTTGTTTAAATAAAGTTTCTGTTGGAGTTTTGGATACTTTTTTAAACAAAGAAAATGAGAAAGGCATGCAATGTGTGCGTGTTTGGGGGGGATGTGAGATTCTCATATTTACTAATTTTATAGCAGAAACAAAACATTTTCTAAGTTTTTTTTCACTTCAGCTTCATTTTAAAAACAGTAACTGCTGTAGACGGGTACCAACTCCCCATGACCCAAAACTATAATGAGATTTTTTTTAAATAGTTTTTTGGGCAGCTGACATCAACATGTGATTATATTCATGATTTCGTACTAAAAACCCTCTATCGAAAGCTGAATCTTTGAGGAACAAATACTGGGCGTCAGTAATTTGTCAACAAGAAAAATACCCAACTGTTAATAATGTCTTCAATAAAAGTTTGAGGTGGACTGAAATATTTAACCTTACAGGTCGTACGATTGGTGTGAAGTAATTTGTATAAGGTAAAGAATAAAGAAGGCAGCAAGCCTGAAATGGACAGCGATGATCTTGTCTCTTAGACGGCACCGCATCAAGAAGAGCTGGTCATCAGGAGTTGATGGAACCACAGAGAGACGAGGCATTACTTTGGGGAGTCTTTGTAACTTCGTCACAATGGAATTCCCTTCATACTTTAAAACTTCGCTGTGCAAAACAAATAAATAAAGAATCTTATGACAACTATTTAGAAGTGGCTGCGTCTTCTCTGGGCTCAGAGGTTTTTGGGATGTTCCATCACACGAGGGAAATGTGGATTGTAGCTAGACAAATCAGTATTACACATTTTTGTTGGAAGAAATGGGTGCTGTGTGCAAAAAAAAGAAAAAAGGGGGCTCCAAACAAGTCCAAAAGCTGGACTTTGTGGTGGTTCTGGGCTTGGATCATCAGTGTTCTGTGAGGGCAGCATTGTTGCAGAAAAGTCCAGCTGAGATTTTAGAGCAAGGCATTGCTGCCTTCAAGATCACATTCAGGGAAGTCATTTGTCAACAAAATCATGTAAAACCACGTTTTACTCACATTACAAAAGCTAAGGAAGAGGAGGGGAGTGTTCCAACTGCAGTCCTGACTTGTCTCCATAAAAGAATGTAGGCAATTAAATCAACAACTTCATACTGTTGGACACCTTAACTCTTTGTTTCCAGAAAGAATGGGACAAAAATAACACCTGAAACGTTTTATCACAAAGCCAGAAGATATTAAAGCAAGGGTTAAATTGGCAAAAGTGCTACTGTTCCAACTTTATTTGGGATATATTTCAGCCTAAAATTATAAAAATGAATGTGTATAATTGCCAAAATGAATTAGACAAAACATGAAATATCTTGAGTTAATGCTGTCAACAACAAAAAAAGGTTAAATAATTGTGTTGTATGATCTCTTTAAACTGAATCTCCCATTAAAACGGACATTTTTCTGTTCTGATATTGTACATTTTGTTCCCACATCCTGCCTGGCACTCCAAACACAATCCTTTAAACATTTTACTGCCACCGGTAAGCTTCTTTCAGTTTAGTTAACCATTAATGCAGTAAAAAGCTGAGCTTCTCAGATGACCCAGCATGACTAGGTTTTAATCAAGAACTTGTTCCACAGGCTCCAATTAGCAACTAATCTAAAATAAAATCTAAATATGTTGAAGTAAAAAGCAGAGCCACACTAACTAGGTAGGGTCCTGTTAGGTCTTGATGCAGAGAGGTGACGTTTGACTCGGTAGGTCACTGCCACGGTCCTGGTTAACCACATCACTCAGGAGGCACCAAAATAGATCTGATCCAGCAGAATTTAATTAGTCTGTGGTCAGTGCTGCTATTAAAAGCTCTCTACCTCCATGCGCTTGCTTTCATTCTGTCTGCCTTAATATGCTGTTATGTTAAAGAATGACTAGAATGAAAGGGACCCCAGGAGACGCAGACACAGAGGCAGCAGCCAGCAGACGCCGCCACTCTTGATGGTGCCACAGCCTCTGATGAAAGAAAACCAGCACTCTGTTTTATAAATCATAAGTCCCAAGACTTCGTTTTCAAAACGCCTTATCGGCTTTTCCATCTTTCATTATTTATTTTAAGTCTGTCATTCAGTGTGGCTAAAGTGCAGCAGTAGAAACGTGAAGACTCACCATCACCTCTGCTTTTGGTCTCTCCAGAAACTTTTTAACTGTTTGTTGTTTTTGGTGCAAAGAAAGCACATTTTCTTTATTATTATTATTTTTTTTTGTCTTGCTGCAGCTGGAAACAACACAAATGAGGACACGGAGAAACATTTTAGCTGCAGGATGCCATTAAAACTACATACTTTACCTCGCTACATCATATGAGCCTTACAGAGCTGGCCTAAACATGCAGAATTAGTTTGTTACGATAAATAACTGACATAGCACTTATTAAATTAAATTACCTGTCATTTTGCATGCCCAAGTTTAAAACAAAGATCTTGTTTATTAGCACTCAGAATATATGTTGACGATGACTGTCAGCTACTACCACACAAAGTTGTAGCTCAATATCTGTTAACCTGACTGGGTTACAGCCACTTTTGTGTTTGCTAAGGTTGATTAGCTGTGGCAGCCATCTTGATTTGGGTTGACTTCAAAAGTCAATCAGTTGTATATGTACATCTAATGATTACTATTAGAGTTTCATTAGAATCCATGCTCTGGTTCATGAGATATTTTGTCAACAGACGCACACCAACACAGAGGAAATTACATGATCACCCACCTATAATGGCAAAATGTAATAAAGAAAAATCAATTTCCTCTATAAAAAAAAATAATGATTCTTTCTATCAGCATTTAGTCACAGAATGGGTCAACTTGATAAGAAATTAGAAAATCCTCAATAATCACAACTACAAAATATTCTGGGCACTCCTTAAACTTGAAGTTTCACTCTTGATTTAGAAACATTTAGCATTAATTTCATAATTTCATTACATTTTTTAATTCAGTTAAACCTAAACTTATAGAGGAACATTTTGAAGCAGTGAGAAGGGCTGTGGTTCAAGTTCACATAGTTATTTTTAAAAAGTGAAATGGGATGAAATTCTGCTTCCATCAGCCAAATGGAGCCAAAACCCACAAGGACAAACCAATACAAAGACAGTTCATATTCGAGTTAAATATGAAAAGAGAAAAATACAAAATATCGATAGATTTAAAAATAACAAAAGTTTGTACTTGTATGTGAGGTCTGTCTTGTCGAAACGCCCTCCGTGTAGCACGAAGCGTCTCTGGCGGTGTCCTTCTCGATGACGCACATTCTTCTGGGTGAGGAAGTCCGGCACTCCACAGCGAGGTCGGTTCCATGCGTTGGGGGAGTTTGTTGGGGTACTCGCTTCATTCACAAAGTCCTGAGCGTGAGGAACCTTTCCCCTCCTCTTTAGGTCTGGGAATCTCTCAAAGGCCTGAAACAACAATGACATTTTAAATGCGTCATTTGTTTATGGCTTCAGAACAACTTTAACCACTTCTCTATGCCACCTTTAAATAACTCCAAACAATATTGATTGCATTTATCATAATTTAAATGACAGAACAGTTTAGCACGGTGGCACAGTTGGTAGAGCTGCCGCCTCTCAGTTAGAATGTTGCCCAGGTTCAAATCCCGGCCAGGGGCCTTTCTGGGTGGAGTTTGCATGTTCTTTCCGTGCATGTGTGGGTTTTTTCCGGGTGCTCCGGTTTCCTCTCAAAGAGCAAAAACTTGCATGTTAGGCTGATTGGTAACTCTAAATTGTCCCTAGGTGTGAGTGAGACAGTGAATGGTTGTTTGTCTCTATATGTCCCTGTGATGGACTGGAGACCTGTCCAGGGTGTTCCCCACCTCTCGCATAGTGATGGTTGGACATGGGCACCAGTGACCCCCATGACCTGAACAGGAATAAGTGGGTAAAGCGGGTAAATTTGCCCCTACCCTCATTCGCCCCACTCTGGGCCCATGAGCAAGGCCCTTAAACCCCCCCCCCCCCCCCCATCTGCTCCCTAAACAAGTCTCTCTTGAAAATGAGTTCTCGCGGCTCAATGAGACTACCTGTATAAATAAAGGGTAAATAAAAAAAAATAATACAAAGGATGGATGGATGGATAAAAGACAGAACAGTCATAATTGACATTACATCATCTGTAGGCTCATCAGCAACCGATCACTCGGCGATCAGTTTAAGAAGCCCATCTTCTAACCTCTGCACCACCACTCCCCCACAAAGTGTTTAGTCCTTTTAATTATTCATTTATTTATTTTCTTCAGAAAATATAACGAAGAAAAAAATATCAGGAGGCAATGACCAAAGCAATTTCAGCTCATCCTGCAGATATCTTGAATGATCTGTCCCAAATTCAGGTTAATGAGAGCACAACCTTACAACCGGGTCACCGAACCACGTACGTTGGACCCATTTGGTGTCCCATTATCCTTAATGCTCCTCTCCACCTGACCCAGAGGAAATGACTCTGCTCATTTCCACAGAAGCAAATTACAGAGCAGAGCCCCATCCGCACCTCCTCATCTGCCTCACTTCAGTCCCTCTGAGAAAAACCACATCTGCAGTCCTGCCACACAGAAAACTGATGGGTGTTCTCTTTTCACCAGATTACGTGCATTTCCCTTTCCGCTGTAACTCAAAACAACCTGTGGGAAAAAGACGCTATCAATATATTGAGCTAAGATTAAACCAATTATCTCCATCATCAGATTGTGTGAATCTGCTCAGAACTACTCTTTTACATAACGTTGGACATTATAACCTCCATGACTCTGATCTTATCGCAAATGGTCTGAAAAACGGAAGCATCGATGATTGTGGCATATGGGAACTAAACGTTTCTTGCATTACTATAGGATTTTATCATGATGACGCAAAACCTAAAAATGAAGCAGAAGCAAATAAACAAATGAAAAACCAAATCCAAAACAAACAGTAGCAAAACAGACTAACAGATGAAATCACATTGGTCTGGCACTAAACAAAAGGCAAAGGCTGGACTGAGGGAATTAAGAAAAATGTAGAGTTGAAGCGGTTTGTGTCAAACCTGTAAAATATTATTATGCACGACTTCATGCAATATTGTAAGATGTCAAGATCAAAGCAGAATAAGTGTTGAGGATCAATCACAGCTACCAAACAGTAGGTTCATATTTGTAAAACTGATCGAGTTAAAGCCATTTTTGTAGCTTTGATGGTCAGTTGGCTGTGGCAACCATCTTGAATCATACTGACTTCAGACGGTAATCAGTTGTATTTAAAACAAATAACTTACTGCAAGTTTTATTAAAATTCTTCCTGTGGTTCATGAGATACTTTGGTAAGAGACACACACGGGCAAAAATATAATTACGTATCCACTTTTTGGCTGCAGGATATAATAAACCTAAAAACTATTAAACTAATGGTCAAGTATATTCCTCTACCTGGAAACAAGCTAAATCCAAGTAAACATGAGTACAACAAAACAAACTTAGACACAAAATAGAAACATCAGAAATAAAAAAAAAAATACACAAACCATCGCAACTTTTTTCTGACCGTGTGTTTTTAAAGATATGATGCAATGTTTTAATTCAGCTTGAGACCTTTTTATCCCATCAGCTATGATAAAATGTTTCCCATTCCTGGTTTAAAATGAGATGGTTTAAAACTCAAACACCAATGTTTGGACTAAATCTGTTAAACAAGTTGGAGTGAAATAAATTGAGGTGTAATTTTTTATAAAAGTTAACATGTTTTTGTTATTTGACAATGACCTGAGTTGTTCTACTGTGTCTCGGTGTAGGTCATGGAGAACAAAACCCAGCAGGATTTGTGGAATGTGCTCCAGACTGCAGAAACGGAGTGACTGATGGGTCTGAATCACAGAAAAACACACACCTCACAAACCCCCTCCTTTCGCTTCACTTTGTTTAGAGCAGACTTCAGCTGGTTATTCCACTGCACAAAGCACTTATTCATGTTAGAGGGGATGTTTATGCTCATATCCTGCAGCTCCTCTTGTAGGAGTTGTTATGAATGAAGCAAAAAAGCCGCAGCGTCCAAACAAAACCCCCAGGAGGCTTCAATGCATCCCCAGAAAACCTGCTTCTGGTTAGGCTTCTATTTGCTGATGTTCAGCAGGTTTGTTTTCACAGAAATGAGTAAGACCAGTCTGACATGAGGTCCCTCTTTCTGTACTGTTATCTGTCTTCCTGGACTGAAGCTTGATAACAAAAAAGTCATGATACCAACAAAACTCTTATCATTGGAGCAAAGCAGCTCTGAAACATATCAATCTAAAGACTCCTGACATGAAAATACATGATAAAAATAAAAAAAGCAAAGTTCATTAAAGGCACTGAGTTCATGTCCTAAATATCAGAATGAGTCAAAGAGAAGCTAATCTGATCTAGCTAGGATAAATGCATTTGATGTCACTATGTTGTAGAAAATGTGCATAGATGGATAACTTTATCTCCCATGTGTGAAGGCAATCCTAGCATATTACTTGCAAACTTAAAACAGTATATTGAGAAGTAGAAGCTCCAAAAATCACAATCAAAATGAAAAATAGAGAAATGGTAGTACCGCTCAACATTTTCAACAGGTTTGTTCCTCACCATTTCTAAAAGGTGTGGACCACCAAAATAAGGTAAATAATTTAAAAAAAACTTCAGTAATCTCATGTAACACTTTGTTTAATGAATAAAAACAAAATAGTGGATAAATAAGAAGATACAGTATATGAAAGGTTAGAGGTGGGAATGTCTTTTACAGCTCAAAAATCAGAAATCCAGTGTTTAATCTAGACAGCTTTACTGATCATTTTAGTTGCCCCCTCTCCTCTGCAGACACACTGCCCAGAAATTAGTACACATTACTTGAAGGTACTGAAAAACTAACAAAAATAAAGGAAAACTTTTTTTTTTGGTTTTTGCATGAGCTATTTTTTATAGTCTATGTACACAATTCCAATTAACCTGATAAACTCCTAAAACTGGGGGCTAACATTAGCTCACAAATGGAAGGAATACATTAGCTTCGGCTTGCTAATGCTAGTTAGCTAATGCTAGTTAGCTAATGCTAGTTAGCTAATGTTAGTTAGCTAGCTCTAGCTTAAGGGAAACGTTTAAGAGGTTAGCATTCAAATTTATTTACTTAATCTAATTCAAAACCTCGAGAAAACAGAATTGTCAAACACTACATACATTTAGTTATGTACTTACTTGGGTTTTACTTGGTTTGTGTGTTGCTGGTATAAAATTTCGACAGTTTAATCGTTGATAAAAGTGACACCTGTTGAAGGAGTTGGTATGATCTACTGTAGGGGTGTCTGAAACTACAATGCAATGCCCTTTCTTGTTTAAATATGTGAATTTTATTTTATATTGTATCAATTTTAGTACATAAGAATATAAAAAAGTTTCAATTTTGAAATATGTTGTTTTGTCAATTTTTTCTAGTTTTATTTTTTGTAGTTACACCCGTTTACCCCTTTTTATTCTGTAATTTGGACTGTTCCTTAAATGAACTGTTGATCAGAAGTCCATTTTTTATACAACTGATTGAGTTTTTTTAAGCAAATAAAACATTCTGATCAAAGTGAGATTTTAGTCATGGAGTGTATGAACAGATCAAGCTGTAAAAAATACAAATTTATTTAAATGTACCTTTAATGCTTTCTGTGTTTTTACAATTTCTGCTCAATTTTCTTTAATCAGTGCACTTTGCATGGAGAGATTCTTCCCCGAGCTGGACGAAATGTGTGTTTCAGATGAAATGTTGCTTGGAGAAATACTAATACAAAAGGCTTGCAAGTTTGTAAGGATGGAGAAAGCCGAACGGACAATCCTGTTGTGAAGGATTTTAATTTAGCTTCAAATTGCACTGTTAGGCTCGAGAACATGAAATTAAAAATGTTTCTTAAAAAAAACAAAACAACAACACTTGAAAACGAGTCTAAAACACCTGAACACCATCAGGCACCGAGAGAAAATTATTTAAAGATGAGAATGATTAAATGTCCAACAAACCCATTCTTTTAAAATCTGGGTATTGTTCTTGTAAACACCCAAAACCTTTTCAAATAAATGCCTAACATTAATTGAAAGAATGGTTAGGTGTTCAGATTTAGTTAATTATAATAATGTGAGGATGATGATGCAGGTCAAACCTGTTGGTATTTAAACAAACAAGCATAACAGACTTTTTCCTGGAGGTAAAAGCCATCTGCCAACAGCTCTACTTTACTCGAAAGTCTTGTTAGTCTTAGTCAAGAAAGGGTTTTTGATGTATGAGTCGTTCACTCTCAGACTCTACAGATCCTGATCTCAGTCAGAGCTTAGAGGCAGGCGCAGCATCGACTTTCACGCTCGTAAAACTTAAATTAATTTTAAGTGTTGGGTGAACTGTGAGGGGGTGGCCTCTGTCATTTCAAAGAA